CAGGCAGATCTATATGAGTTTCAGGCCAGCTAGGGCTATGTTGTGAGACTCTGCCTCAAAACGAACAGCAAGAGAAAGAAAAAGAAAAGCCCACAGGTATAAAAAGGCACACGGTGGGAAACTGTGCCAACCGCCCCCACTCCTGTCTATTAATCACTTATTCAGGGTTCCCCGGTGCCTCACTACACACACCTAACATTTATAATCTTCCTACCTCAACTGCCCCATGTGCAGAGATTACAGCTGTGTGTGATACACCAATTTGACATGCATTTTTATTCCTCCTCTTTTCGTTTTTTACTGTGTCTGCATGTTTCACTCCTTGAGTTTCTCTTACTGACAAATCCTGTTAAATTGACTGCAGCATTTCAGAATGAGTCTTCATTTCTTAAACAGCCATAGTGTGCTCTACCCTGTAGATCTACCATAACTTCCTTAACTAGCCCCTCCAAAATGACGGCTATTTGGGTGGCTTCTGATCTTTTGATATCACAAACAAGCCTGAGAGGAATCATTCTGTATAGCTGCTTTTTCGAGACTGCACACGTCTATCTAGGACAAATTCCTAGGGCTGGAGTATGTTAGGCCAAATAAAAATACTAATTACAAAAATCATATGCAGCACTTACTGTGAATCAGGCTCTAATCTAAGTCCGCTCCGTACACCAGCCTACTCATTTGATATTCTTAACAACCCTATGAGGAAAATACTGTTATTATCTCCTTTATAGACGAGAAAGCTGTGCCACAAAGAGGTTTAATAGCCTGCACAAGGTCACACAGCTAGCACAGGGCAGAGCCAAGTAACATGGCTGGCTGCTTTTAGACATTATGTTCTAGCTTCTCTGGGAGTGTAATTGTATTTTACATAGAAGTAAATTGGCCTTTATTCTGGTTGTACTGATTTCTTCTCTTCCTGACATTACTGTACAGTTTCATCAACAGGTGAAAATGCTTATTAATTATAGGTGGCAATGAATATCAATATGGTGTTAATTTCCTCTTATCTTACAGTGACAGATGCTGAGTATGTTCATGCATGCTCAGTAGCCACCTCTGTTAACTTCTCTATCCTAGCTTTTTGTGTGTTTTTACAGTGAGTTCAGTCTCCCTCTTATGGACAAGGAGGAGGATGTCTTTACATATTAGAGACAGAGTTTTATCCTACATTTTTTCCTAATTTGTTTCTTATATTTTCACGTTGTTTGTGGTTTCCTCTGATAGATGTTTTTAATATACACAAAGCCAAATTATTAACCTCTTAGGTAATCTAGATTTTTAAGTATTTATGGGTCTTAAGAGAATCTTCCTGTTTTTTCTATTGTTTTGATGGTTTAATTTTAATAATTAAACACTTGACCTATTTGGAATTTGTTTTGTTTGATGGGTATATGAATCCAGTTTGCTGTTTCCTTTGGGGTTAGTCAGGCTTCCCTTTTGAACAGTTCAGCATTTCTTATTGTACCACACAATACATCATGTACAATCAGGTTCTATTTCTAGACTTCTCATTCTATTGTGGTCAATTTTTCTGTCTATATCTGTATTAAATATTACTTTATTATACGAAGCCTTGTAATACAACATCCAGTAGGGCTTCACCATTCATTGCTCATCTGTGTGCTATGTGTGTGGGAACATGAAGAGTGTCAGTGGCCTAGAACCAGACTAATGACTCATTGTAATAAACACAAGTAAATATATATATGGACTAAAGGGTATACTGTGTGACTCACTGGGCCATGCTATAGTGTCCATGCTTAGATTTTTCTTATGTGGTTTGTTTGTCTGGTTGGTTTATTGGCTGTTTTGTTTGTTTGTTTGACTTTTAAATTTTGTTTTGGGGGAAGGTTGCAAGGGTAGAGAGTGGAAGCAAGGGAATGAGGAGTTAAAAAGGTGTTTTTCTGTAGTATTCTCTTCCTTATTGCCTTAAGACAAGATCTCTCCTTGAATTTAGAGCTTGCTGTTTTGTCTAAGCTAGTTGACCGGCTCTTGGGATCTGTCTGTTCTTACTGATCCACATGCTGGGGTCAAAGGAACAAATATGCATGCCAGGCTTTTTGATTGGGTCCTGTGAATTTGAGCCCAGGTCCAGGTCCTCAGCCTTGTAGAGCATGTGATCTTACTCACTGGGCCATCTCCCTCTTCCCAGACACAGCATTGCTCTTAATTCCACAGCTTTATTATTATTATTATTATTATGCTCACTTATTATTAACTTAGTAATCAGCTTTTAAACTTTTACTGAAAATACAACCAATCAAACAGGATCAGAAATTCAGGGCCATCTTCAGCTTTCTAGAGATTTCAGAACAGCCTGGGCTATATGATACTTTGTCTCAAAAACGAAAACTAGAAAAAAAAAAAAAAAAGACAAACAAAAGTAACCATGTGTCTGTGGAAGAAACTGTCACATGTTTATACATAACAATTCAGAAAGAACACACATTTCTGTATTACTGACTATATTCAATAAAACAAATGACACATGTTATTATGGCACATTATATTATATTAAACACATTTCTACCCTTTAAAAAAGAATAAGAAGAGTAAGAAAAAAATAGTTCCTCTTGGAGGTATTGAATGCTATAAGCAATTAGCTTTAAGGCATTTGAACCCTTAGCAAGGGTGGGCAAAGTCAATACCTCCTTCAAACAGCAAGTCGAGAGCTCAAAGACAGAAAATCTAACATGACTTCAAAGTTTCCTCTGTGACAAAACAAAAACAGAGACCAGGCTATGAGAACACTGACAACCAAATCACACCTCGATTGATTGTCACGATAACTTGTAACCACTACCAAAATTAGCAATAGAAGGGTCAGCCAGATAGTTCACTGTAAATCTTTTTTCTCCTTATACTGGAAATATAATTCTTTTGGCCTCACTATTACCTCTCTTCCATGAGCAGCTTGTCTAGGAAAACATTAGGGAGCAGTGGAAAGAGCTGGGTGCAATCCTAGCTCTCAGGAGGCTGGGGCAGGATTGCTTTGTGAGAGAGTTGGAGGCTAGCCTGGAGCAGCCTGAGCTACAAAGCCAGACACTGACTCAAAACAGAAGACAAAAAAAAAAAAAAAAAAAAAAAAAAAAAAGCAATGGAAGCTGACTGAGCATTGGTGGCGCAAGCCTTTGATACTAGCCCTTGGGAGATAGAGGCAGACAGATCTCTGTGAGTTCGAGGTCAGCCTGGTCTACAGAGTGAATTCCAGGACAGCCTCCAAAGCAATACCGAGAAAACCTGTCTCGAAAAAGCAAACCAAACCAACAACAACAGCACAAACAAACAAACACCCCCCCAAACTACAAAAGAAGAATGAAAAGTATTCCCTGAGGTTGGGAGAGATGACCAGAGATAGACATTTTCACTCTTGAATTCATTTACATTTTAAAATAAGCAATCAAGTGAAATTTGAAATTAACACTTACATTTTCTGAAACAAAAAGCATGTTTATATTTTTAAACAATAAAAATATGTTGGGAACTAATTAAATTTAGCTGTTTTGGTAATTCATGTGTTTTATTGTTAGTTACAAAGGCGAAGGTATCACATATTCCTAACCTTTGAAAGGACTCCACCTTCAAGGGTAATGACTTCCAAGCTGATCTCCAATAGGGATGTTGGATTGCTGATCAGCCAAACTCTTTACTTTTGTCTATAGAATATATGGCATTTTCACTAGGAAGTGAGCAGAGTGGGTTCTTATTTGTGTCCATGAAATAAAGCTACATTTGCTTACAACATCATTATTTCTCCTCCTTCTCCTTCTTCTTTCTCCTTCTTCTCCTTTGTCTCCATCTTCTTCATCGTGTGTGTGTGTGTGTGTGTGTGTGTGTGTGTGTGTGTGTGCGCGCGCGCATGTTTCAGGCAAGGTCTTGCTACATAGTCCAGACTAACCCCATATTTGCCATCCTCCAGCCTCAACATCTTGAGTGATGAATTTACAAGCATGCACCACTGTGCCTGGCTTCCAATAGGCCCATTATTTGGGAAATAACTTATCCTCAAAACAAACAGATGAGTAAAAGAGGGCATTCATTATTTTATATATGGGGAGTCTAAGCTGTAATCTTTTCATACTACTTGTACAGGACAATGAGGAACAGTGTGGTTATTATCAGTGGGAACTGGTAAGACACAGAGTCATTTGAATAATTTAAAAAGAAAAATCTTCCATGCTGTGTTCTGCTTCATGCCACCCCCACCCCGCCATGTCACCCCTAGCTCAGCACCCAGCACCTACACAGATCTGGGTGCAGAATCACTTCCAATGCAAGCTGTGGTTCTAGGGGTGAATGTGTCATGTTACTTCCAATATGCTGAGACACTTTGAAAGGCTGCAACCAATGCTAAGGTGACAACAAAGACAAGCAACATGGGGCTTAAATGCTCAGCCCTGCATTTCATCTATTGGAACACACAGAATAAATAAATCTCAACACACACACACACACAGAGGGTACAGACATACACTCAGGCAAAACACTCATACACATAAAATAAACATTAAAAAATTTCATGGGTCTTTGGAATGGAGACGTTTTAGGGTAATTGAGTCTTAGCAGTTACAGGACTCTAAACCACAGGTGTGTTTTATTTTGCTCTTAAGAACTTATAGAGTTACAACTTTCACATTATACGAAGCAGCTGGGCTAGCAAGATGGCACTTCCCACATAGCCTGGTGACCTGAAGTGGATTCTCGGGATCCACAAAGTAGAAGAAGAGAAGCGATTACCGCTAGCTGACCTCACCTACAACCACATACACACACATGTATATCCAAAAGAACAGGAGGAAGGAGGAGGGGGTGGGGGGAGAGGAGAAGGAAGCAGCAGAGGAAGTGGCAGAACAGGGCGACAGCACGCACTGGTATGGACGCATTTGCTTTACCAGGGCAAGTGGTTACTATGGCACCCTCGCCCAGAAGGAAAGGACTCATTTCAGACAAACACAAATCCCAGGGCAACTTAGAAGGGATGCTAAAGCTGCGCCACTCACCTGTTCCAGGCGGGTCTCTCCTCGTTTTTTATTGTGAAGTTGAAGGTAAGAGTCTGGTTTAGGAGTCGGCAAGCCCAAGGTCAGCTTGTTTTTTTCCACAAAATATTGTTTGGACTTCCTTCTCCGGGGCCCCCGTGATCCAGGCAGGAAGACTTCATTATGTGAACTTGAGCTCTTCAGATACTGAGATAGGTTGCTTGACTTCTCCTGGTCACTGTCGCTGAGTTCTGAAAAGGACTCATTTTGACGGGTGCCACACTCATAGTTTGGGCTTAGGAACTCGCTTCCAAGTAAGGAGACTTCGCTCTGAGGACTCCTCTTCTTTTTGCCTTTTCCTACCGAGAGTCCCATTGAAGGCTCCCTGGAAGGGTAAACGGGAGCCGCAGGCAGGCTGTCTGAAGAGCTATCAGCAGACCCTGGCAAGGCTTCCACAGCCAATGGCTGCACCTCCTCTTTCTTATTCTTCCAGTTGGGATCATACCGAAGGTCTGAATATTTGTCTTCTACATGATGCTGGCTGTGCAAAGCAGAAAAGAAATGAGAAGTACTTAACTTAGGTAAATCCCCAGGGGTTTGCCCTCAAGGAACGGTCCCCAACGGAGACAGAAGACAGACAGACAGACAGACAGACAGACAGACACACACACACACACACACACACACACACACACACACACACACCCCTCACTTGTTCTATTCACTTCATCATTTTATTTAAACTCAATCTCAGATTCTGTCCCCTCTCATTTCCCTTTTGATATCTAGATGGTTGAAGGTGCAGCTAAGACTCCATTTAGAACCGCAGAAAAGGTCTGACGATTCAAGTTCATTGAACTCTGTAGTAAAAATGGACACCAACTAAATTCTAAAAGCAAGGAAAGAGTCAGAAATGAAATGTCAACAATGCTAAACCAGCATGTCTCTGTGGTTCAAAGAGTCCTATCGCTTATGCAGAGCCTCCTGCGGAAGGCAAAACTTCAATTCACACCGGCCAGCTGGCCTTGCAGCTCAACCACAGAGTGCTTGCCTAGCATTCTATTCCCAGCTTTAGGCTTGGTGGTATAGACTCTTGTGGAGGGGGGTGTGAGAATCAGATGTTCAAGACCATCCTTGACTAAATGGTTCCTTGAAGGTCAGCCTGGGCGACATGAAACCATGCCCCCCCAAAGAAAGGAAGTGAGAGGGGCGGGGGGTGGGGAGGAAAAGAAGGAAAGGGGAAACTTAACAAACTACACTTTAGCTGGTCATATGCATATCTGCGTATTTCTCTCTAGGAAGGGAAGTACATAATGTCGCCTTGAATGTCTCCTCCTAGGAGGAGAGTCAGGTTTTTATCTCAATTGAATTCTACACAGACTCATCTTTCTTTTCGGGAACTTTGGTTTTCCCTTCCTCTTATCCATAGATTTTTTTATCAAACGTTCCACAGAAAAATCCACAAGACTTAGACTTAGACTGTGACTCAGAGTGTCTTGATTGTCAGGGCCATGCATACGAACCTCAGGGGACAGGTCATTGTGGGCCTCAAGTTCTAGGACACTCTCACTTAATTAAGGTTAAACACATGGTCCTGTCTGAGGGAAGTAAACGAGAACCCAAAGAAAGTGTTCTCCTCTGCCCATGACAGTCTCCATCTGTAAAATAGCCCTCTAGCCTTAACTGAAAAAAAAAAAAAAAAAAAAAAGAAAGAAAGAAAAAAAGAAAGAAAGCTGGTAATATGGCATATTTAATGGCCTCTTTGATCTTCAGAAGCTAAATGGGAGAGATTTTTTTTCCATGCCGAGGACAGTGGATGCAGTCCTCTAATCAAAAAGAAAATGTAAATCACCCAGCTTTTTATGCTATTTGATATTCCCGTTTACAGAGGGCATAATTTTATGCTGGGTAAACAAACTAATGGTCTCTATAATGCTAATTTACCTATTTTAATGTGGCCCTAGATTTCTTTGATTCAATGTAAAGCAAAAACTGGACAAGAAGCCAACACTCGTCTATTTTACTAAGTTTTCATTGCGAGTTTTTCAGCTGTCCTAAGAAGGTGGAAAACCTTCGGAGGTGGCGGATTTTCCTCTTCCTACACAGGCTCTTCCCCAGCAAAACTCCAGAGGGACGGACAATGGTCCATCTCTGAGGAAGTGAGACATCACTGTTTCTCCCTCAGTAACACCACAAGATGGCCTGTGCTTACACTGGAAGCTTCGACCGCTCTCAGCATTGAACCCGCATCACACAGCGATGGCAGACAGCCACCTGTACGCACAGGATGCTTTCCTTCTTTGCATGATGGTGTGGAGTTTTCTGGTTCTGGGAGATGCTACAGCAGAGTGTGCAAGGACAACAGCTCTAGAACAGAATCACCTGCCCTTCACCTCTGGTGCCACTGGTTACTTTGTGAATGTCTAATTAACTTCTGTGCCTGTCACAGAGTAGGGATGGAAGAAACAGCAGCCCAGAGAACACAGCAACGAGCTCTGCCACCAGGTTTCACTCACTGCCAACTGCACTCGGTCTCCAGGATGTAACACAGTTGTTGTGTACTATGCTTCCTGCTGATGGAGCTCAAGGGATCCTTCAATTCCCAGGGCTTAAGATATTTTAAGGGTATGAGGCTCTAAGTAGTGCCCTAGTGGCTTGAAAGACATAACACCCATTAAAAAAAAATCCATATATTTAGTCACAACTTAGATTCTGTGGGAAATGTCTAAACTAGCTGCTGGGAAACATGTGTCTGAACCCATTGTCAGAAGGGAAGCACCAAAGAAAATGTGTATTAACACAGAAATAAAACCAAATCAACTATGGCTCCCACGAAAGTTTTAACCACACAGTGCCATATACACCGGCAATGGCTGTCTCCAGACGTTCCCTTGCCCATTTCAAATGAAAGACATTGAAACCAATGGGAGGCTTTTTTTCCCCCTTTCAAAATCATGTGCATGAAAACCTGTAATGCTTCCCAGAAACAAATTGAATTGTCGAAACAGTACATGATACTAAAGGACCCCATTGTACCGAGCTCGTGTGCTAAGGAGCCCAATTGTGTTTTACAGTCCGGGTCAACACGCAGGGACAAAATGAGTGTGAAGTGCTCTTTCACAGGCAATCATCTGCACACAAAACATGCACCTCTTCCCCTCCTCATCTGACAGGAAGGTCACACAGACAATGGGCACACTACTCCTTTGTTACCCTTCAGACAACAGATGTCGGGGCTCCTCTTCAGGGGCTTGCGTTAAAATGGATGCAGAGAGGAGAGGGGCTGGAGGGGGGAGCATCTCACATGCATTCGGTGGGGTCTTTGCTGCCTTTAATGGACTATGTTTGAGTCCGTGCTGTGATAACTTCAAACAAAATAAAATCAAATCTCCATTTAATGAAGAGCCTCATATTCGGTTTGTATTCAATCAAAAAATTACTAAAATTAGAGCATGTTTCTAGTTCAATTAACATCCTTTGCACTCACAATAAAATATTCAATAACTGCCCATTTTGCTTGTCGAGGAGGGGAATAAAAGCGAAACCCATCGTCAGTTAGCTGTTCGTTGTTTGCCACTTTATGTTAAGCAGGCAGTTAGATTGAAACTGCACATATTATTACTGATTTAGGTTTCATTTAATCCTTTGAAACAGAATAATTATTCCCAATTTATATGCCATTAAATCTTTTATGCACACGAGCAGCAAATTCAGTATTTGTTTAAGTGTAGAGTTTGTGATGCTCTTTAAAGGGGCCACAAAACACAATTGTTTTTGAGGGTCCCCAAATCCTGCCTCGCTTTGTTCTTCTCATCAATAGCTTATAAGGAAATCACATGCAACGAATCCAAAGACTTAAAAAGTTACCTGTGCACATATGAAGTAAAATGATTCCACAAACACACTTTGTGGAGACTATTTGTAATCCATAGATTTTCATTTAATGGAGGCATTTATTTTTACTTAAGTGATTCAACATTTTAATAGAAAAACAATAGCTTAATGAACTGAAGGTAACCGAAGTTGTCTATAGAAACATACTCAAAGGAAAGGGGTTAGTTGTTAGAGAATTTAGCATACAGCAATTACATTTAGATAATTTTGACCCAAATCCCGACCCCATCAAACAGATGTATGTTCTTTTGTCGCTGGTTTTGTTTTGTTCTGTTTGATTTTGTTTTTTGAGACAGGGCCTCTCCATATAGCCCTGGCTCTCATCCTAGCACTCATTATGTAGAGCAGGCTGGCCTTGAACTCACAGAGATCCACCTGCCTCTTGCTCCCAAGTGCTGGGGTTAAAGGTGTGTGCCACCACACAGGGCTTCACCAATATATTTGTGACTGTTATAGCCAGGCATTTGTCCCAAGTTATAGCTAGGACTTGAATTTCAATTCAAGGCAGACCTGTGAATAAAGGGAAAATCGGTGATCTAAATAGCACATGCTAGTGGTCTCAGTGTAAAGTTTAGGCCCTTGCTTCTCCTGAGATGCCAGTTACACAGAATGAAGTCTCCACAGTCACAAGAAATGCCGCTTTCTTACAATAGTCCTGACCAGGGCTCTGCTGAATCCCATTAAGGAAAGGCTTCCCCTGGTCAAAGGGAGTCTACCACTGGTTTTGGCATGAACCTAATATTCCAAGCTACTCAAAACAAAAGAGTTAGTCCAGTTGGGTGGGTCAGTCATTGGGCTAAGGAACCACCCTTCAGGAAGGAGAATTCCTTTAATGCCATGTGAAAGGGCACTCATCCCTTTAATAAGCTAATGTACCTTTCCTTTCCAGAAACCTTGATTTTCAGGCAGTAACTCCTGGCCTGCCAAGGGGCTCTGTTAAATCTGTCTATTGCTTTTTCCTATGATGTCAACTATAAATTCTAATACCTGTAATCTGATATTTAAAATGTAAAATGTACACTATCTAAAGGAGGCATAAATACCCAAAAGTCTTAAAAGTTGAGGCCCTGACTCAAAAAGGTGTAATTTCTTTCCCCTTTTTCTTTCTTCATCTATTTCTTTTACATGTTGGGAGAGCATAAATATTCTTTCTCTGGTACTTTGGTCTTTTTTTTTCTTTTTAAACTTTTTTCTGAAGCTCCCCCTTTCTCTGTAGCTGCTTCCTGAACCCCTATGCCTAATTCAAAAAGGAGCAACCTTTCCCTCTTATTAATTTTTATTTATTTTTATTTCTTGTGTATGGGTGTATGTGTATGCACCACTTGCATGCAATACCTGAGGCAGCCAGAAGAGGGCATCAGATCCCCTGGAACTGGAGTTACAGGGGCCTGTGAAGCAGGATGTGTGTTCTGGGAACTCAGGTCCTCTGTAAGGACAGCAAGTGCTTTTAATCACTGAGCCATCTCTTCTTCCTCCTCCTTCTTCACCAGTAAGATGGAGCTCCCCAAAATTTCTGGCAATTGTGGTACAGCATTTGGAGCCACAGTTTGTCTCTGGAAGTGAGTGTTTGTGCCATGTCTTGTGGACATTTTCTATGGGAAGTTTGGGTGTTCCTTTTAGTCACCAAAAACACTGGTTAAGAGTAGA